TAGTGGTGCATCTGCTAGGACCAAGAGATACATGCTGCTTAAGGAAAGATCATTTATTCAGTGAAGCTGCTCTACTCCCACTCCACTTCCAGAATGTCTTTGTAACATCCTTGATTTGAGAATCACCTTCTATTAAATTCTGTAGAACTTGACTGGGAAGCCTTCTTCTGATTTGAAATTCTAGATTTTCTTCCAGTAGGCCTTAGGGGTGGCAGAAAGTAGGGTTGGAGAGTTTGAAGGTAAAAGGAAGAAGAGAGTGGATTTGCGTTCTTTTTGGGGAAAAATCCCAAATCAGCTGAGGGGTGACCAAAAGTCTGTTGGACGAAGGATGCTGCAGACACTCATCATGCATTCAGCATAAAGCAAGCATTCTGGAAGGATATGCCAACATCTGATTGAGTGTTTCAATCCCTCAAACTGCTCACCTCTCAGAAGTCATATTGCTACCGATCATTGAAATAGACCACTTCCTGCACTTTCTCAAGCTACAGGAAGTGAATATTGTGATCCTATGCATGTTCAATCAGAGAGAAGTTGCCAGTCGGTGCATAATGCCACAATCCTATCACCCTCATGAAAGTGGATTGTCAACTTCCCAAGGAAGAGACTAATGAGAATCACAGACAAAATGTGAGGCATGGTGGTAGAGGAATGTCTTGCATTTATCTAGTTGGGTTTAGATAACTTTAGTCTGTTCATATTATATTCCCAGTAATGGGAACATCTTTTAGGTATATGAAAGAGTTAAATAATTGTCATGGGGCCAACTATTGAGTACAGGGTATGCCACATTGAATATAGCACCTTCCAAGTGACAGGAAGTCCTGTAATGCAATTGTTTCCACTGTCAACAGAGGACATTGGTCCTGTGATGTGTCCCATATCTGCCTTCATTAAAAGCAAGGCACCTCCATTTGTGGTAGGGCTCCACTCATTGTAGAATCTCTTCAGCTATTTTAGAGTTCCCCTCTGTCCATCCTGCCACATATCGGCACATTCAGTAGTGGATCGGGGTGGGGGAGGGCAGGAGAGGTCTACTTCACCTGTAGAGTTGATCCAGTCCCCTGAACACTGGTCATAGGTGGTTTCCATAAGACAAGGCAGAATAATAAGAGAGAGGTGAATGAATAGAGGTACTAAGGGGAAGAGAGGTAACAAGAGAAAGAGAAGCAATCCTGGAGAAATTGGTGGAGGAAATAACTGAAATATGAGCACAGCAGACAGAAGTAATATAATACTGAAGAACCTTAACTTCATTCCAAAATGCATCCTTCTGGATATACTTATAACAACGTTTGCACATTCCTTTCACAAGATGAACATTTCCTATTGCACAAAGCTCGTTCAAAAGTTTCACCTGCTATAACAATTATGGTGACAAGCAGACACACACGCACACATGCACACACACAGAAGAAGCAAAAAATAAAGTACTAACTCCTTACGAAAGTTCATGCAGCAACGCTAGTGGGGGTTCCCCAGTGAAGATGAATGGATCAGAAATGATGAAGGACAGAGAAGCAATGGCACCAATCATGAGATCTCCCACCTGTAAATACTCATGAAGTGGAGGCTGCGGCTCATGGTTCTTGCACTTTGGAGTGCAGGTCTGTGATGTCACAAAGGCCCAACAGTCCGAGCATCCAAGGGAGTTCGAGCCTCTGGGATTGGCTGAGCTCGTGCCATAATTTGTTTGTTTGCTTGCTTGTTAATGCAACATGTATGCTGCCCCATTAGCCGTAAGGCTCTCGGGGGCTCACAACATGTTTCCCCAAGAATTGAAACAGTACCATTTATAATGCATTTAAAACAGTGTAGGATATGAAAACCAAGACTAGAAGAAAATCAATAGTACAAATAGACATAAAATTAAACAATCAATAAGTTTAACTATTTAAAATAATTTTAATAAAAATAAATTTATTTGGGAAGACAACTTTGTAAGGTCAAGTGACCCCATGCCACAGGGAGCTTCAGCTATTGCGTGGTATGGAAGTGTCATAATGAAATCAGTGAAGTCAAACGGAACTTGCAAAGGTGGGCAAATGGTGGACTGAGGGCACCTGGCAGCCTCTGCACATGCTCAGTGCAGACTTCTGGCAAGAGCAGTCTACCCCTTCCCTGCCTGCCCTTCTCTGCCTGGGAAGGAGCAGAGGAAAAAGCTGAGTGGCAGAAAGGAAAGGGGTGAACCAGCTACCAGGCCCAGGCCTGCGGTCTGTTGGCCCTAGGATGAACCCCTTGTTCAAATCACTTACTGGTTTCCACAAAAGTAGCAAAGAGGTGAACACAAAACACAGTGGCATAAACAATAAATGCAAGAATAGAAAACAACACAGTACAAATGAAACAACAGGAAAAACACAAACTCAGCGGGTGCTACAAGCCGCTGCTGGCTGCCACGTTTCAGGAAGAGCCTTTGCAAAGAGATGAACTTAAAAATGTCTGAATGCCAGAACTAGGGGCCTCCTCTGAGGTTAGCTGGGAGAACATTCCTGTGGGTCGCGCTCACCACCAACACACAGTCCTGACAGGTCACTCCAGAGGGAGCAGAGTCCTCAGCGGAAAGAAAAGCTCCATGCTCCTGCTACAGGCCGTGAGCAAATGTTTCCGGTGAGAAGTTCAAAGGCCTGAGGAGTGCATGGTTTCATTTGCAAGGTCAGCCTGTTCTGATGAGGTCACACGCTGCTTAATGAAATGCTCAGCCTGACTGTGCATCACGTGTGCTGGTGCCGGGAAGCACCACGCTTCAGCCCTGGCCAGACCACATATTTGACAAGGAAAGGAAGCCCATAGATGCGGCTGGTTCCCAGTATGCGTGGAGCTATTCCTTCTCATCACCTGGAAAAGGGCCAGTTTTCCCTTAGCACCCCACCTCACCTCCCACAATGAACTCTGGGAGTTCCAGCTTCAGTCCACCCCTAATTATGACTTATATCAAGGGCTTCTGTCTCACAGGCCCACGCAATGATAGTATTGCAGGCGGCAGTAATCACTTCATGTCCATACAGCATCCCACAGCTGTCTGCTTCTGCTTCGACAGGGCCCAGTTTTTGCAATCTGTAGAATAAAAGGGAAGGACATTGGCATTGATCACAAGGTGGCACATCTCCTTTCGCTATCACCCCGCTCTTAGGACTTTGACCCTTCATTTGTATTCATCCAATGTCCCCAGCCTATTCATCAGGCTTTGCTCTCCTGCAGAAGTAGACGATCAGGAGGTTTTGCATTTGCCCGCAAGTCTGCAATGCAGACAAAAAGCAGAGTCACATTCACTTATAATCCACTGCAACATTCCTGCATCACTCTTTAGTTGGTGGGGAGGTGGCCCCACAAGCTGTTAATTTTGGGGGCTTCCAGGTCCACCGCAGGGGACCTGCTGGGCCTGAAAATGGGGCTTTTATTGTGCTACAGCCTTTGGAACTAATACACATGGACAGCCTGACCCTCCATGAGCTTGCCTCATCCTCTTGTAATGTCACCCAGACAGGTGGCCATTGCTACATCCTGTGGAAGCCAGTTCCATAGCTTAACTATGCGCTGTGTGAAGAAGCACTTTCTCTTCTTTGCCTTGAATCTCCTACCAGGTTCATGGGATAACCCAGTATTACAGGAGAGGAAGAAACATGTCTCCCTGCCCACTTTCTCCACATTGCACATTATTTTGCAGACCTTCCTCACATCTCCACTCACTCTTAGCCTGAACAGTACCCGAGGTTATAAGCTTCATTCACAGGAGTTCATTCCTGCACAGGAGCAAGAAATACTCACTGCTTTTTATCTAGTGGTGAGCCATCCACCCAGGTCCATCTCCTCTCAGGGAGTGTGGTCACCAGTCCAATCCATAGTAACTGTGTCTCCCCAGCGATACTCTGGATAAAGGCCTGCAGGCAACAAAATCCGCCTGATGATGCTGTACTAAAGTTGTGGAAGGGCTCTTAAAGGATGGTGATAGAGAAGAGAGAATGGATTCTACGTACCTGTCAACTGCCAAACTCCCACAGTGTATCTTGGCCTTATGTTTTCCTGGGGCCAAGTAGCAATATCACTAAGTCCTCCAAATACAGAGTAGCAGACAAGAATCCAAGGAAGATTTAAAAGATTTAAGGCACTGAAATTATCCTAATCAAAAAGTACACCCATTG